GAATGTGTTTTTGTTGATACATATATGTATGTATATATATTTGTATGTGTGTGTGGGTTTGTACTTGTGCGTACGTGTAAGCGTATGTGTGGGAGCGCGCGTACTTATATGTATATATACATATATATATATATATATATATATATATATAAATGCGTATATATATTTATATATAGATATTACTATATACTATATAGAATGTTTAAAAATCTTTCTTTTTGTTTGTCAAGTAAAAATGTTACAAAAATTGCCTTTCAAGCCACGTATGTATATATATATACATATATAGAAAGAGATAGAGAGGGAGAGGGTGGCACTGAGAGAGAGTGAGTGAGAGAGAGAGAGAGAGAGAGAGAGAGAGACTTGTAAGTGTATGAATTTTTCCTTTGTACGTGTGATCGTTTGCCTCGGTGTTTATAAGTGTAAATGGCATTGTCAGTATTTTATCTGCATTAGCACACGTGTAGGTGCACAATCCAAAATGTGTGAGTGTATATGATTTATGTTCGTAAGAAGCAGTGGCACCAATTCTTTCCGTACGTTGCACTTGTCGCGAATTATAAACAAAATGTCCGTGTGTACGAGCGCTGACGACCTCCCCGACGTGTCTAGTCCCGATGAGGCTTGGAGGCTGACTGAGAGAGAATGCAGCTCGTCGACCCGCTGCGTGCAACAGCGGCCAGTGAAAGTATGTGTTGGCGATAAAGTGTTGGCGAAAATTCGCAAGTCATCTCTCTTATATTGCGATCGCCCGACTGAGAACCCGTTTGTAATCGAGAAAAAACACTCGCCCGCTTCAGCTTTTCTCTCTCCCTTCCACCCACCCTCTCCTTCTCCCTCCCTCCTTCCCTCACTCACTTTGTCTATCCCTCCCTCGTCCTCCCCACCCGACCAACTCCCGCGCTCGGTCGTTCACGCTTCTTTGATAATACCGGGCTCGGTAAAAAAAGAAAAAGAAAGAAAAAGGGACATTATTAAAATTCAAGTTCAACGTGACACCAAAGCTCGACATTCGAAAAATCAAACAACCGAGGAAGTCCAAGTCCAATTGCGCTGTTATTATACGCGCGTGCGCACGTTCTAAATACATTTTCATATTTTCGTATTTTCATGCTCTCGCCGCGCTCTCTTCCTCAAATATCTACTAACACGACTAAAACCCCGTTGTCGCGAAACCGTTTAAAGTCCTAATCCTCTTTGGCGCTTGCCGAGCCACGAGGGGACGCGTCTCCAACCCCTTTCTACATCTATAAATGTGCGATTACGAATACACGCTTAAGATTTCGTGTAAGCGACCGGAGCTGCGCATACTTACGAATGCGGCGTATAGCTTCATTGTCGTACAAAGTGTTAAGCTAGCGACCAAGTACATCCGAGCCAGGAAAAATAAATAATGCACCAATTTGAGACATGCGCAATCAAAGGTATAAGCTTATTGGCTCTTGCAAATGCGCGTAATTTCAATATAGAATTTTAAAAGGTGTTTCTAAGGTGTTTAAAAGGTGGCCCTCAACAATGCCCAATAATATTTTAAGCCGCATCACTTCTTCTCGAGGAACAAAAAATTGTGACTTGTCCTTTATATTGTGACCAATAACATACTTATTTCAAATAATTTATCGATTGTACGAGACTTACTTTTTTAATCGGGACTTTACCTATAAAATAGTCGTTTAGCACAAACGTTCCACAGTAACAGATATTTTTCTAACGGTCATTAATATGCTCATATATTTAAAATGAAAATGAAAATGAAAAAATAAATCTTAATTCAAAGAACTAACGTGGCATTATAACATTTATTTTTTTAAACACCGCGTGGCGCGTATAATCGGCAATGTCGTTATATATATATAGTTAGAATTTAATATACGGATCACGTCATTGAAAGCCAAGAAGTTTAGATAGCCATCATGCATGCCTCAAATGGATCCGCTATCTATTATTTTTCCTGAATTTTGACTCTAGACACGAAAGGGCCCCCTCCCTCCATCTCGCTCTATCGTTCCCACTCTTCATATCATACCTGCGAGCCTCCACCCATTAAAACAAGGCATGGACGCCTATTTGCATATTTACTAGTCTTCTAATACTCTAATCATCGTTTACATTCGATACTTCTACAAAAGAGATGGATGGTGGTAGAAGTAATAGTGGTAGTAGCCGTCGTCGTCGTCGTCGTCGTCGTCGTCGTCGTCGTCGTCGTCGTCGTTGTCGTCACCGTCGCCGTCGCCATCGCCGCTGCATACATTATACGGGTTATTCTTTCCTATTTCCTTAACGAGCCGGGGGCGTGTCTCTGTTCGCTAACGATGTTGGAATTAAAAACAAGAGGCGAGTCTCTAGCACGAGTGCGCAGCCTCGTGCATCTTCGTACGATGATGCATTGGACGCGTAATGCTCAGGCGAACGTCTGGTGCTTGACGAGTTTCTTGAAGAGTCCGTTGGGCAAGGCCATGAGCTCGTCGTAGGCGCCGCTCTCACGGACACGACCGGCCTCCAGGGCCGCGATGATATCCGCGTTCCGGATGGTGCTCAATCTATGAGCGATCGTTAAAACGGTGCGGCCCTTTCTGGCTTGCTCCAGGGCTTCCTGCACGAGTTTCTCCGACTCCGCGTCCAAGGCACTCGTCGCCTCGTCCAATATTAGAATAGTCGGATTCTGAAATGAGGGAGTAATTATAATGTACTAATTGACAAACATACCGCGCCAAAAAAATCTTTATTTCATTTTATGCCTCTAACGCTCCTATTTACTTTTTTATTTAGCACGCGTTCTATATAATTGTGACTAGTCATTGCAAAGCAGCGTTTTTTTTTTTTTATCGTATTTCAAATGGAACGCACGATTCTTTCCTCAAGAACGGGATGATTTTTATTAATTTTTTGCGAATTTAATTAGAAATAACATTATAATCTTTGAAGCTTTCGATTCACCACATTAGAGCAATGTCGAATAAGGGTTAAGGGAATCATCGACACGAGCACTTTCCATTACCAATCTGTAAATTCAATGTTTACAGTATCATATACTTGTATGAAAAAAATATATATTTAATTTTTGAGCAAGAGATAGAATGCAATTCTTTTTATATTTTTAGCAGTTTATGTCATTTTTAATGGAAATCAAGTGAATTAAATTATAAAAGAATGTACTAGAAATACACACATAGAGAGAGAGAGAGAGAATATATATATATATATATATATATATATATATATATATGTATGAAGAAGCATAGTCAACCATAGGCCAATAGAGTAAACATTATTTATAAAAATGAAATCCTACGGCAACAAAAAGCACATGTTCAAATTGCTCAAAAGTTGTAGAGTACATTAAAATTCTTTACATTCCTAATTCGATACTGCATACATTAGTAGCGATAAATATTTATTATTATTCTATTGATAAGAATTTGTCAAAAAAAAAAAAAAAAAAAAAAAAAAAAAAAAAAAGCATTTTACACGTCAACAAATTATCTTTGTAACAGATTTGCAGCTTAAATATTAAATTGCTTGCTAAGCTAATTTATGGAAAGTTTATACATGATTTTGACGGAATAATTATGAATTGCAAATAAAATAAAATTTTGTAATGGTATAGATAATATTATTTATTAAAATAATATAAAAAAAAGAAAAGAAAAGAAAAATTAAAAAACCAAAACAAGGTTATTCTTGTTTAAAATATTTAAAACACAGTTTCTTAACGCTTTAAATCATGATATAAGAATATATCAGAAATAACACAAGGCTAATCATTTCAATAATTCAATAAAAATAGCAATAAACTTACTATTTTATAATATTTCTTATTACATTTTTAGTTCGATTTTTCCACAAACATTAACTTTTTCGTTTGTCATTGCTATATACGTTAAAATAAAATATTTTTTTAACTATTATGATTATTAACGTTGTTGTTGTACTACTAGCGTTTTTGCTTCTATTACAGTTGTCGTCGATGTTGTTGTTGTTATTGTTGTTGTTGCTGTTGTCGTCGTTGTTATTATTATTATTATTATTATTATTATTATTATTATTATTTTTTTTTTTATTATAAAAGTTTATAGCTTTTATTCTTTTTATTAATTTTATTTTAATATTTCATTGCCTATTGTACATAAGTCTTTAAAAAAAAACATCGTTATCATTTAGTTTCAAATAATATTTAAATTATAACTAACTCATTCAACGATTAAAAGATATGATTATGATTCTTAAGGTATTTCATATTTGAAAGATTATTAATTATATTATTTATTGTGATAGATTATTTTAGAATATTTTGTATAATATATTTTTTTTATCGATAAATATCAATAATAATTAAACCGAAATATTAATTATAAAGAACGCTGTAGAAATCTTATTTGCTTCGACAAATTTTATAAATAATTGAAGGATAACCGTTATATTGTATGCATAATTATTATTCTAAAAAAAACAAAATTATCTTCACAAATGCGAATTAACATTTCCTGTAAAACTCACAAACGATGATTATTTTCACTGAGATATATAACGAAATCTTTATTATTATACTATATGTATGTAGCCATAATATTTAAAATTTGAAATAAATATTAATTATTTTGTAAGTTGGATTTCTGCTGTAATTTTGTAAAAACCAACCCAATAATATTTATATATGCGTATTAAATTACTTCTCTAAGATAATAAATAATATTTAGCATATTAATTTACCCAAAGATTCATAATTGTAATACAATGATAGAAGAATTTTATGTCATTGTTTAGCTCAAACAAATGTTTACATCAATAATAAAAAATGATTGAATACAATGCAATAACTAGTTTAATCGATGTAAAATTGTTCTTAGATCGTATATCGATGAGTAATTGATTTTTCTGAGAAAGTTCACTAAAGCTATGTAACAGCAATAAATATAAAATTGATAAGATAAATGTAGCCTTAGTAATAAGGAAGACTGGTAAACGCTTGATCATTGGCTCTTACGTTTACGGTGGCAGAACGTTAAAATTGTCTTCTTTGTATTAAGGCATAAAATTTTAATTTAAACTTCCAAATCATAGTATACTTGCCTCAGAATAAATAAAAGTCTAGCGCATAGAATAATATATTAATTATAACTTCACACGTGCGCAACAGCGAACGCACTTACCTATGCACACGTACCGCACACATATGTTCCTCCTATGTGTTTATGCTTATATATGAATTAATCATGATAGAGAATAATGAAAAAGATGTTATATAAGAAGTCACGGAAACAAAAAAATAAAAAAATTTAGTTTTATCTTCTCTCTACTACGTAAATATATTTATAATTTTGTAATATTATATTAAGTATTAAAATATAATACCGGATTATAATAGTTACAACAAAATGTGTAATATTACGATGATAATACAAAGTATGCATATGCCACGGAAATAAATATTTTAGCACGAATGGCATTGTTATCAATATAGCATCAATAATATTATTATATTAAAATTTAAAACTAAATATTTGTGATGACATAAGACATAATAACAAAAAAGTATATCGCAACTTAACAATTGACCGAATAAACTTGTAATAAAATATTGCAAATAAATAAATATTATTCTAGATTTTAAAGAGGCATTTAAATGATAAATGATATGTTATCGGTGAATATTTAATATAATTTTTTATGCAAAGTAACACTTACGCCAAAGACCAAATGCAAGAAGAAATTATGGCTTTTAACATCGGATGCTGGTCTAATTTGATAATGTGCAAAATTAAATCATAACTGTTAAGCAGATAAGTCGTCGGAAGAGGATTGCGCGAAATTTTTCAAAAATATGGCAATAGATCATCCCAGAAGAATATTTAAAAATTATATAACTATATCGACCAAATGGCAATATAATCGCTTTTCTGTTGCATTTCTCTGCATAAGTTACTGCTGATATTATATAATACAATAATATAATAAATAATAGTTATACCATTTCGTTAATTTTCATTTTATTTACAAATTCATAATATTCTTTATATTTATAAAGAATTTATTTGATATTAATGTTAATGTACGTTCGGATTAATGCAAAATTCAAGATTAAATCTAACCGTACATATTGTAATTATAAATATAATTTCTTTTAACTTTTTTATATGCATAATTGTAAGCTTATAAGTGTAATTATTAAAATAAAATAAATAATACGGTCTTTTACTAAAAAATCGATTAATGCGTGCAATAACGTTTTGGTAAAACCTCATGATTAATCAATATTTCATAACATAAGTTTTATAAGCTTATTTCTTTAATTCTGCAATAGCTTATTTGAATTGAATTTTGACATTGGTTTCAACAAGTTTGTTTATTGTTTACGCTTTATGGAGCATAAAAACAAAATTTAGAAAACAAATTTCTAGTACGTATTTATTTTTATAGTTAAGATCTCATAATAAAGCGATAGGCATGCTATATAAAAATATTTTATTTCTCTTAAAATGTATTACTATGAACATTTATTATATTTTAAAACTTTGTATTTTTTAAAAATTCTCACATAAGAATACTTCATATTTTCACAATATATATATGTATTAAATTAACTAGGATGAATTAATAAATAATGCATTTTTTTTACTTTAATCAATTTCTTTACATTAATTTCTAATATGATCATAATAGTAATATTAAATTTGATTTTTTCTTTTAACCGTACAAACGATATATTAATCGAATAAAATATTTTTAATAATTTCTCAAAAATGTGCAAAGTGTAAAATAAATTTATTTATAAATACCTTAATGAGAGCTCTTGCAATAGCGACTCTTTGACGTTGTCCTCCACTTAAAGTGATTCCTCGTTCCCCTACATATGTTTCAAGTCCATCAGCCATTTTTCTTACAAATTCTAATATGTTTGCTTGCTTAGCTGCTTGTATTATATCTTCATCAGATGCATTTTCATTTCCATAAGTTATATTCTCCTTTATTGTTCCATTAAAAAGTATGGGCTCTTGGGAGACAAAGCCAATTTGTGACTTTACCCAGCAAGAGTCCAATTCTTTTAAATCATAACCATCTAATAAAATACAACCAGTACTAGGATCATATAATCTAAGTAATAAGGCCGCTAACGTAGACTTTCCAGATCCTGATGGACCAACTACAGCTGTAACTGAATTCTTTGGAATATGCAAATTAAATTCCTTCAATATTAATGAATCGGTTCTTGTCGGATATGTAAAATTAATATTCCTAAAAGTAATTTCACCAGATAGTTTTTCATTTAAAATTTGTCCACCATATATGGGTATACCAGGTTGACGGTCAATTAATTCAAATAATCTTGTACTTGCTCCCAGCGCTTTATATAATTCAGAGTAAAAACTTGTTAGACCACCCATAGAAATTCCTACATAGGCGGCATACAGTAGAAAAGCACTAAGATTGCCAAAGGTTATTGCAGAATTAGAGAGCATAGTGTTTCCATAATAAATAACTGATAGAACTATTGCATTCCCAGATAATCCAGTCATACCAAAAAATATTCCTCTATAAAAACTTTCTTTATAACATAATTCTAATAAGTTTCTTAATTTTGTACCGTATAATTCAATTTCGTTTAATTCTTTTGCAAAAGCCTTAACAGTTCTTATATTACTGATTTTTTCTTCAGCCGTTGTATTTAATGCAGCTAAACTATTTTGTACATCTTTTGAAATATTTTTAACAAACCTACCATAAATAATTCCCATTAATGTAACTGGGGGGACAATTAGTAAACTAACTAAAGCCAATTGTGAAGAGACATAAAACATCATTGAGATTCCAGTTGTTGTCATAATTGCTGATCTTAGTCCATCCGATATGTTACTCGTAATAGCAGAGCTGACCAACTGGGCATCACCTAGAAGTAAAATTCAATTACAATCTCTTGTAATTATTTTTAATCGCATTGTCAAATTGTTACTTATATATTTATCATCAATATTTATAAATATTTGTTATTGATACATTGACTTTGATCAAATTAAATATATTTAATTGATTTGAATTACTTAAAAATAATATAAATCATCAAATTGAATGTGAACTAGGCTAAATTCAAACAACGTATTGTTTTAATACCTGACAATCTTCCCACAAGTTCGCCGGTACTAACTTTATCGAACATTGCTGTTTCCTGGCTCAAAATAGCCGTATATACTTTTTTTCTTAATGTTTGTGTGATTTTGTGTCCTGCTGTTGACATTAAATAGACACGTGCAAAATTACATAATCCACCAAATATAAATATCCCAAGGAGAATAAGTGATACATTGTTTAGATTGTCTCTTGTTTTTTGCTGGTCGTTTGTATAAATTATATCAATGATTTTACCAAGGCAAAATGGTACCAACATGGTTACCGTGGATGATAAGATTAAAAATGTTACGGCACCAAGGAGTCGCCACTTTTCCGGTGCTGCCAAAAGAAACAGTCTACGAAACTCATTGTTTTTCACCCGTTGAATGCTATTGATCTGTTTAGTAGACTCTATAACTTTCGTTTTGAGACGATCGGTTGAAAATCTCTTTAGATGTTTTAGATTTATAAACTTTCTTCTTGATAGTTGCGTAGATTTTATAATATAGGTATGAATATAAAACCGTTCAAATGTATTAAAACTTTGAGTTTTTAAATTAAGGATCATCCTTGTACTAATAAATCTGCAGAGAAGAGTCATCTTTAATTTTATCTCGTTTACTTAAAAATTTTAACAATAAAAAATATATTCAACAACATAACAATTATAGAAACAAATCACTTTTGTACATTTAACTAGCTTAGAGAAAAATATGGCTATTGCGCACTTATACTATTCATTTTCTGAAATGACATAGTCATCTAATTGTCGACATTGATGCGGATATTTTTTGTGCAGCATAATTTAGCCTCAATATAGTTCGCGGCTAACTGTGATCTGCGACTGCGTAACATAAATCGTAAAAAAACATTGTATTGTATTTACTCTTAATTCATGTTGCACTGTTTTTATAATTTTACATTTTTGAAAATTCTACGTTTTATGCCTTAGGACTATGGACTATCTATCGTCTGCTGTATTGATTTCAATTTTTCAATACAGAATCATCAGATGATCACATTTTATAGTCTTAATAACTGGCGGGCAATGGAATCTTAATTTCACTCATCTTCAATTCAATTGGCTCATCCATCGAATATTCATTACCTGTTTCATAAATTATTTAGTAAATTATATTGCTTCGAATGAACATAAAATTTATCCATTTTATGTCATTTATCAATTTAAATTTTGCAAATTTATTATGTTTAGGCCTTTACCATTCCATCATTATCTAACATTTATAGTTAAAAAATTTTAATTTCATAAGAGCTAGTAGATTGGTGTTTTTTTTTTTTTTTTTTTTTAAACATAAATTTTCATTTAAATATGCCTAAAATTACAAGAACCTTGTAGTAAGAAAGTGTATTTAACAAATAAATTGACAATTGTTTTTAGTGAAAATCCACGCGTGCGTACAAATTAAGCGCGTTATTTAAAAATATCTTTACGGTATTAACGAATAAACATTATTTCGAAAAAGTATATTATTTCATAACAATTATTTGGGAATTTATTAAAAAGAATAGCAATATTAAGCGTTTATTTTATAACGAGGTAAAAGCTAAATTCATATTATTATAAATAAATATATTGAAAATTTATTATACAAATTTATTTAAACGAATCTTTATTGCTAAAATCTATTAAAACTACTTTTAAATTAATCGAAAACAACAATTTTTTTGTAAAAGTATGTAATTTTTTCTACTTTTATTGTAATTATGCATGATGTATTTGTCTATAATTATACATTTATTGTTAGTTAAAGTTTCCGAAAAATATTTTTTTATTCAGTGACTTAAGTGAAAGTATAATTTTTTCACGTTTGTTTACGCACACATATCAATAATATGATTATTATATTATTATATTTCGATAAGATTTTTTTATATCATAAATGACTCGTCGATGACAATGGATTACATTATCAATATTCAAAGTACATAAGTAGTTTTTGAAAAATGTATATTATACATTGAGAGAGAAAAAAAAGTGGAGAGAAAGATACTTGATTGTAATTTGATATAATAGTGTTGTAACGATCGTATACCGTTTAGCATGTTAAAAATAATTTAATCATGGAATATAATAAAATTCTACAAATTTATCTACTTTCTATTATTTTAACTAGAGCGTATAATATAGAGAAAAATTATATATACAGGGTTCGGGCGTGTAATAGAATAGAAATTTGTGAATTCAAATAAGAATAAATATATACAATTACACACAATTACACATAGACTTATCAATACAAAAACAGTAAACATTTTCACCTAACATATATCCGAATTTAGCATCTTCATTTTATACTTTATTCATTTATGTGATTTTTAACTTGTGTTAATTAATTCATCTTACGTGTTACTTAAAAGAAGTATTTTTATGAGATTAAAGAGTATAAGTAGTTACTCATTCTTTTTTATTTCTACGAACTAAATAAAGTAATTATACGATTGTCAATTGTAAATCGCTATCGCGCAATCTCTGCCTCTTGCTGTTTTAGCATCATTTTATTTATATACAATTGGTTTTATCATATTAATATTACATGAGAATTAATAATTGCTAATTAAACAAAAAAGTTGATGGGATATTTGAAAGAAAATTTTATTTGAGTAAATGCTTAGGTTAAAAAAATATGATTAAATTAATATTAGGCAAAATTAAGTGAAATATGAATTTGTTACTCTAAATTAAAACTTTTTTATTGAAATTATTATATATTTTTATATCCAAAACATACATCATAATTTTGATGCGCTTGATAAATTTGATAACATATGGATCATAATATGTCAATATGATAACATTTTTCAAATTATATCATAAAGTTTTAATTTTTCACTAAAAAGATTGTCGTTTCTTAGTATCAGGATACAATCTTTTGAAGAGAAATTATAAAAATAATTAAAATCCAAACTTAAAAGATAAATAACATAATATACAGTTATCCAATTGTTAATAATAATTATATAAAACAAATACTATAATTGAAATTCGAACAACCTTTCTTTGTAATTATTTTTTTATGCACATTTACATTATACAAAATGCACTATACATTACAAATAGACATTATTCGATTATACAGTGAAACCTAATTATACTATATATAATAAAAACAGTTTTTCAATAATTTTGACTGTTTCATTATTTTGAAATATTTAACTATTAAAAACTATTAATTAAAATACTGATAATGATGTGATATTCATCTGGGAAGTCATTTTATATTTTTTTGAGAAAAACTTACAGTTGTTTTAGCGCAGGAAAGCATAACGAATATTTTTAACACTTTCTTTCAACGTAGAACTCCATAATTATGATTATATTGTTTATATATATATATATATATATATGTATTTATAAGATAACGTGGAATTAATAAAATGTTTTATTATTATAGAAAAATTTTTAAATAATTAAATTCAAATTAATATATATAAATTTTGACATACAGGAAATTTGGCAATTAAAATAATTATCTTTTTATGAAATTTTTGATCCTTTTTGTAGCTAAGTTAAGAATTTTACACGTTTTCCCTTTCAACTAGTGTGAAATATTTATAAAATCAAAACGAAATACTATAATAAACTGAATATTGTATCAATATATAAATTAATAATAAAATAATTTGAACATAATTTTTTTACAAAATTATTAATATAAGATTATTGTCAATTGCAGCTTAAAACAATGTTACAATTTACTTTTGCAATATGAAATTCTAAACAGTTAAGTATTATAAATAATATTATCATTATTATATTAAAATTACATAATACTATTCTAATATTTCAAATAATATATTAAGCTCTTCTATAGTCCAAGTATTAGTAAATATATTTATATATTATTAGCTTTTGAATAAATCATTTTTTCTATTCTACTTGGCTATGTTTGCGATTAACTATACACAAAAAAGCACAATAATAGCGATCAAATGAGTATACGTAATCAGAATCAGTTGAATCGTAGATGATTGTTTTTTTGTTAAAAAAAAAAAATTATCTTACGATGAATTTTATATACAATATGTTAAAGTTTGTGACAATCATTAGTTTCAAGACATCATTTATGAAAAAAAGGTTTCCTAAATTTACAACATATAAGATTCTTTTTTAACAATATCTGTGATCTTGTAATTTTGACTTGGATATATAATAATTCCTTTTAATCGATTGATAAATATATTTTCTAATTCTTGCTCCTATAAATAATAATTTAGTAATCTATACCCCCCCCCCCACCGCATGCGCGTACACGCACGCACGCATAGATATATACATATATATCTTCATTACATAAAATATATTCAGATATTCGCAATGAAAAATGTTAATATTTTACTATTTATTTAAAAAATATTGTTGTTGACCAGAAATTAATTGGCCTATAGTAAAATAATTTTATTTGTTGATTTTTGGAAATAAATATCTGTTTGTAGATAATGACCAATAATTCATATTTTTATTTTACAAATAATATAGCAGTAACATTACTCATAGACGATCTTGTTACAAATTATCAAAGAAATTGTTCGTGTAATGTAAACTATTAATTATATAAACTGTAAATTCCGAGTAATTTTAATTTTAATTTTTTATAGTTCATCGCTCGAACTTTAACTATATTATTTGTAAAAAAAAAAACTATTATTTTCACAGTAAAATGCATGATAGTTTGTTAGAATTACTATGAAAAAAGTACCAAATAAAATGAAGTAAATTCATTTTTCAATCTCTAAAGCAACATATGAAAATAATAATTTGAAACAATATCATTTCATGAAAGATTTGATTTATTTTGAGAATTATTTTTTATAAGTGTCTGATAATATATATATATATATATATATATATATATATATATATATAGAAAATGTATCGATCCATTATTTCATAAAAATAATAAAATCTATCTTTTATTTTAATTTATTGATTTTCTACCAATTTTTAAAGTTTTATAAATATACATGATAAGTAGTAAATATTGAGACTGTAAAAGATAGGATTTAATAATCGTAATATAATGTGAAATAATGTTGAAACAAAGCTTAAATAAATAATCTTTATATCATATGGTAAAATAATATTTAAAATATATTTAATATCTCTCATATAATTTCTAAAAAATTATAAATTTAAAAATTATAAATTTAAGCACGTTTATAAAATTGTATTTATGTATTGTTAATAAAAAATTGTTAATAAATTAAATTTTTTTTAATAATTGTATTTGTATATGATTTTATTTTACAAAATTCAAATGTAAACTCATTTTTCTGATTATATACTAAACATACATTTATTTTAATTTATTACAATCAAATTCACAAGATAATTTATCGAAGCATATTTTTTTTTTTTTTTTTTTTTTTTTTTTTTTTTTTTTTGTTATCGTATATCGGATTATAAATATTATTCGGATAATATTTAATAATATGTAAACGAATCTACAATTTTATTAAAAAATTTTTTATTTTTAATTTGAAAAACGTAAATATCTAATGAATTTAAAGGGATTAGATGTACAGGAAAATGAACAACACTAGCTTCAATGTATAAAATTTTATTATTAACTTTGTAAAATATTTCCTTTTTGAAACAGCAAAGTTCTTAAAATTTAAAAAGTTATAATTTTAAATATCGTAACAAGCGAAAAATAATTTTAACAGTACTTATATACAATTATACATTATACAAGAAACACAATTCCATTACTAGAATATATTATAAGTATTTATCGATGTCCAAAAAAATATTATATCATAATCATTTTTATCACAATAATTATCACACTTACTTTTAACATTACAATATATATTTTAGTCCTTACATTTTATACTTTTCTGTACGATTTACATAATACATCACGTTTTATCATTAAATACGCTTGTGGCTGCTGCAATAGGAACAGTTTTCACAATCATATCAATATCATTAAAGTATCTATTGCTAAACATAAAACTTAATGCACTTAAGACTATCAGAAATCTGAGCTTATATTAATTATATTATAGAAATTTCAATTTTATCTATTTATAATGTTGCTATCTGTTCATTTAATATATGTATATATTCGTGATATGTAAAGTTATTTAATTAATTATGTTTCGGTATGTGTATGTTGCGGGCAACATATCATGTATGGGAAAAGCCAATTTTTCATCGTCTTTTAACATTTAAATAGCCGTGGATAAGCATACATTCCATAAATCTTCGTTACTTAAGAAATTAGAAATTTTTTCATGGCATAGATCAGGTAGTGTTGTTCTGTATAACATTCTAAGGGAATCATTGGTTAATTTCAAAACTAATCTACGAATTATGATCTTTGTAAAATATCCTTTTATAATACCTCTGTAGTGATAAAAATTTTTATGAAAATTTCTGGACAATAAGATTTCTTTGTAATTACTATTTTTCAAATTATATTTTTCCGGTTGACTGCATAAAATATCTGAGATAGATTTATTATTATTAAACATAACTATTTTCATTCTGTTCGCTTCATTTATATAATTATTGAATTTCTCATTATATAAGTCGAGCCATCTATGTATTTTTTGACCCCTAAGGCTACTCTCGATATCTTTGTTTATGTATATATTACTACTTTTGATTTTGGTAATATATTTAAAGATCTGAAAGTCGAATATTTCGGCGAACGATTCTGTGAGTGACAGTTTATTAAATGTATTTAGAATATTATCATTAGTGCCGAGTTCAAGAAGATTTTCCAATATGCAGGGAGCGTTTCTGACGTTTATATCGCCGTAACGGCAATTAACATTATTGCAAACGACAAACCTTAATAATGTCATTTTGTCTGCTCGACTGAAATGCAAACCCTTGCTCAATAGAGCATTAATGATAGACAATAAATTGTCCGTAGCTTCGAAGCAAGGCAATATATTTGGATAATAAAAATAATTTTCATCATTATGAATCAGTTTTATGCTGGTGATGTCTGCATTGTGTTTTAAAAGTATTTTGACGACCTCGGCGCTCAATAAGCGGACAGCAATATCCAGTGGGGTTTCATTTAATTTATTGATTGCATTAACATTGGCTCCGTGTTTTAAACTTAATTTCACGATTTCACTAATTTCTCTGTCGTCGAAATATGGCAGCATATATTTCTGACATCGCCGGGATAATTGTAAACTTCTAATTGTATAATGTAAAATACTGTCGTCGTAGAGATTTTGTATGCCAGGGTCTGCCTTATGGTACAAAAGATATTTGAATATTTGCTTTTGTTTCTTTGCAAGTAGCTGTATTATAAGGCGTTTTTTTTCACTATTGTATTCATAATTTCTAAGTAGTCTTTAAAAATATACATCATCGGCGTATTGCCGTCGTTATCTCTAGCATTCACGTTAGCATTGTATTCCATTAAGTGTTTGAGAATCTTTAGCTTAATATTCTTATGGGAAATGGCTTTCGTGGAATTATAATTCAACCGATGATACTTGTGAAAATTATTAAACGATGAAACGAGATCGTTGGTTTCTTCAGAAATATTACAAATAAAGTGTAACGGCGTCCTACCCAACGAATCTGCAGCATTAACATCAGCTCCATTTTTTAACAGTAACTTAATGATTTCTAATTTTGAATATTTAATAGCAAAATGTAGCGGAGTGAAGTTATTGTGAACATCGCATGTGCTCGAATAAACCCGAATGTTTAAATCAACGCCATTTTTTATAAAATCTTCAACGACTTTTAAATTACCCGTACCGCAGGCAACATGACAATGTGATAGGCCGTCTTTATCGGTATAGTTAATATTTTTTTTACAATTCGAAAAGAGTAAATTTATAGCGTCCAAATAGTTGTTTTTGAAAGCTAAATGAATAGGAGTTTCATTATAGTCATTTAATGGCTCGATTTTAGCTCCATCGAATAATAGAAGATTCAGGTCGAAATAAGATTTATTTCGAATAACTTCTTCAAACACTCGGTTTATTTCTGCGCTATTTGGATAATAATTATCCACTTCTTCAAATATTTTGTCTTTATTTACTTTATTCATGCCATATAAGTAACTCAATGCAAGACGTCTCTCCATTTTCCTTACTAAAACCCTTTGATGTACAATCTAGAAAAAAAAAAAAAAAAAAAAAGAGTATCAAATATATTCACAAACGTGAAACGTGTTAGATTTACATATTCGAAAATTTTGTTTTCAAAATCAACATCGATATCATTACTTTTATTCTTCAAAAGTTACGACAATGGATTTTTAATAGTTTACACTATATTTCCAAACATTTTAATAATCCATTAATTATAATTTAGCATACATTGAATGAATTTTATCTAAAATGTGTTATACAAGAATTATATAAATATGTGCGAAAGACAGAGGTTATATAAAGCTTATTATAACAACTTAAGTCAATTAAATCAATAATTCTTATTTATGTATAATAGAAAACAGTTTTACACGTTTTCTATGCTTTTGATTTATAATTTGTGAATGTATATAATTATATGTACATATTAATCCCTCGTATCAAAGAAATTTAAATAATCCATGAGCTATAATATCATTAAATTAATAATAATTATAACGGGAATGATATATAGGTAATTTAGAAGTATTATCGTGTGCGTATATTTTAAAATTTTTTTATTTTAGACTGGAATATTTTAATGTTGTGTTGTTCTTACATAACCTAAAAATTTTGCATGTTTTCGCTTTAAATGATGTCTTAATGCAAATATGACTTACTTGATAGTAAGCCAGAATCTTCGTTTAAAAAATTTTAATTACAAATTATTATTTAAAGATTAAATTGACTTTAGTATATTTTTAAATATCACCCATTTATAATGAATAAAATGTTTCTTTTATAATGTAATTTTTTTTATTTTTTTTTTTTTTTTTTTTTTTTTTTTTGAATGTTTATATTTGTACGTTCGTTGTTTTGAATAAATTATTTCGTTAAGTTCAATATACAATGACATAATTAGTACGATATATAGTTATACGACGTTAAAAGAAATTGGTTGACAGATTAAGGACAACTGATTTAAAGATGAAGAAAACTAGTGACCAAACGAAATTATTCAAAAAATATTTCTTTACGCAGTTTAATCTGAATTAGAATTTCAAAGATGTAAAAAGAATAAGAAAATTATTAAAGAGTCAATATAATAATAAATACAACATTGTAAACAACAGCAATTGAGAAGCAATATTACTTAATAATGTTACTTATTCGTTTCATTCTATTTTTAAGCCTTACCGACCTTTAATTTTATTCGGATAACATTTATCGATTAATATTCTTGTTAAAAATTATCAACGCTCAATAACATTTCTAGTTTAAACTATTCAATATACGTATTTATACGCACCAAATAAAAACTATTAATGTGAAGCGAAGAAACGAAAGAGAGTACTAAGCTTTATATCGAACGATTCTTCACATGTCATACATATTGATCTTTTTCAATGACAGATGCAATGCAGTTATACGCGCGTATTTTGATTAGTTTATAAAAAAAGTAATAGTAATTTGCAATCGATATCATGTAGTATAGTAAAAATTAAAATATATACGTATATATGTGTGTACATGCATATGTGTAGATATTCGTTATTGAGCTCGAATAAAGAAAGGATTTTCATTGATCTTAATGCAATACCAATCGTATAATTATGCTATATATGTATTATTATATATAATTTATTTTTAATATTTTTTAATATAAATATGATTTTACAATATTTAAACAATGCTGTTATATAATGTGATGAAGGATCGTCTTTTGCAGTAGATCAACGCGCGCGAAAACATATATAACGGATGGTAAAATCGTAAAGGATGTATTAACAAATTTTAATTTAATGATTTTCATAATTTTATATTTTATTAGCTCATTAATAATATGTTGACATGTTAAATGTAATATGGAAAATGTTAATTTTAATGTCTTCATTGATATATTTCGAACAAAAATATATTTACAAAGTCGACGTATATTGAGGAGACTAAAATTCGAGATTATTAGAAAATAATGTGCATCGTAAATTCGTCTTTAAGAAATCTAAATGATTAAACACCAATGATATATTTACTCGTGAATATATTCGTGGACAGAGAGCATAGATACGCCAACAAAATTTCTTTACAATTAATCGAACGTATTGGCAATAAATTTATCGGGCGTTGTCTGCGACAAATGGCTTATCTTCGTCAAGAAAATTTATTCATTCATTTGATTTCGTGAATTAAATAAAACTTATTTTACAAAGCTTCGCATCATATGCAAAAGTCTATATGTTTTTGGATGTAAATTGTTGCAATCAAGGCCTATTCTTTTTTCTTTTTTTTTTGACTTTACATTAATTTATTATAGGAGCGAATGAAAACATAAATAAATACATAAATAACATTGGGTTTATTAAAATTCGCTAATCTATTAGTATTATATATAATCGCAATTTCCTATTATGAAGCTTAGATAAAATAATCGAGTATTTACTTTCCTTTTGGGATGTCTTATTGACAATATGAATAACGACAAACGCGTACTTATTTGTCGCGAGGAGAAAATAATTTTTATACCCTCCGATGTAATTGAAATTACGGTGCAACAAGTTCTTCTCTCGGTTTACTTGGACTTTTTACGCTTTTATGACTTTTTGTTTTTCTCCTAGTGGAACAATACTGGTCGCTCGTCATAGCTAATTACCTACCACCAACTTTCCCCCAATTCTCCTCTCCATTTTCCATAATCATGTGCCTGAAAAATAAAGTAAAAAAAAAAATAATAATATAATAAAAGTAACGCGAAACGTAGGCTTTACGCTCGCTTAAACATAACTTGACTATTTGAAGAAACCTCAAGAATTCTTGCATTACAGTTTGCAAGAGTTTGTTGTTCAAGCGAGTGCACACATGTATTTTAATAAAATTACATTAACAGCTTTTCTACTGAAACCAAGTGTCTAGATTGACGTTATTTTTTCTGTTTTATATTCGCACCCTTATCATACAAAATAGTTGCCGTAATTTTTTAATATCTATGTGATAAAATTTACGTGATTTGGTATTTTCCGATATATTCTGCATTAAAAAAAATTGACATTCACAGTTGGCCTACACTTTAAACGTGTTATTATAATATATTTCAAAACATAATTCTAATTCGTCAAAGATCGAATATACCAAGGATCAATCAATGTAAGAAGTACATTACATTAAAAACATTATATCTCTAATTTCTATACTTGAAAGTAATTAATATACTTTATATTTATTTGTGAAGGATTTTGCAAACTGATGATATTTAAAAAAAGTAAAAAAAAAAAAAAACAATTTTAATGCGATGAAGAATGCTAAGACTTTCGAATACTTATTATCGAACAATTATTTTGGAACTTTCAATTTAACATTATCTTTAGTTAAACATTGGATTCTTCTAAATTAATAAGATATTTTTAGAAATCTTTATAGCTTGCTAAAGTATTTAGTTTTAGTATTTATTCTTTCACCATAGGCATAAAGTATCGAAAATATTGAAAATATGTTTTATCAATTCAGTGTATCATTATATACTGTAATCTTGTAAATGTTTCGTTGTTTTTTTTTCTTTTTCTTTTATATTATGCTGCCCTATGAGAAAACTTACTAATGTTAGCGTGTATTTATACATATTAGGTAAGTAAATAAATCAATGTATAGGAGCGCACAAAGCGTATGCACATATCGATAAACTAGCTAGGATACATATATATATATATATATATATATATATATATATATATATATATATATATAAAGAAAAAAGAGGGACGAGGTAATATTATATTTCCATGCCGCGGATACAAATTCCGACTGTGAAATTATAATCTTATCAGATACCTTAGCACAACAATAATTGTATTTTATTTAATAGATTGCTCTAATGAAAGCGTAACGTCAATATAATTGCCTGTAATCGCTTGCTATTGAAAGAATTATTGTCAACCGTAATTTCGAAAAGTGTACGGTCCTCTTCCAGTAGCCTAGATAATGCATTGGAATCCTCGCTCAAATCTTAAAAATATGTTTAATGTGTGTTTTCTTAATTAAAGCTGCAACAATGCTGTCGCGCGCATTCTTACTCCTGGTGTTATGGTCGACGATACATGCGGAGCGACAGTCGGATAGGGATCGAAACCGACACGGACGTCTACCCGATAGCCAAAAATTCTTTTGGCAAACGAGCGATAAGCGGATACCCTACGAGTCGAAAAATGTCCAGCAGCCGTCTCGTAGTAAAGTCACGCCGAGTCTGCCGGAACGAAGTCCTAATCGCGACCAACGACGTGAGTGACCATCATTCATTAAGTACGGCAATTACCGTGGAATCGTTCGAATTATAAACGAACTGGTGCGCTTTAGCTCTTACGAGCATTTTCTTCCATAAATCCGAAGCATTATTTTCCTTTCTTTGTTCTTCAACGATCTTTGAGAATGCTATTAAATCGAAATAATTCCATTAATGTGTGCCATCGCCGCTATGATTTCTTAAAAGGTCTTTCTGCAAAACAGCTGCAGTATTATATTGCTCGGCTATTTAAATTCGGGATTAAAAGAAGTATCGATGCCTCGATACACATCACGCAATCAATAAATGACATTTCTAAGCTTAAGATTGGAACGCCAGTGTCTCTGTCAATATCAACGGTCTCTTCGATATTACGGTTAAACCAAAAATTGAAGTATCAGAGCTTTACAATCACGTGCTTATGGCGAGCACCTGTATTTTCAATAATATCACAACAAAACTTCCCCATCATATAGCAATATTAGATAACGTGAGGTAATCGTCGTAAATCCTGATAATTGAAATGCCCAAATCCGCAATTCCTTGAAAATCGCATCGAACGTGTCCTGAATCGTGCAGATACGTAATAAGTCATCCCTGCATTAGCTACATAGCCGATGTCTGTGTCGTAGTGCTCTCGCTGTTTACTCTGGTGCGCTTTGAGAATAACGTGTGCATGGGTGTGTCCGGTGAGAACGGTACCTGCATAAGCCCGGCGGAGTGTGCCCAACGTGGTGGACTGTCTAGCGGCATCTGTGCCAGCGGTTATGGAGTCTGCTGCATTGGTAATACTCATTACCCGATACCTAATACGAGATCGAATAAGCGAATGAATAATTGACGACAGGTTATTTTGTATGGTTTTGTTTTGTATTGTTTTTTGTTTTTTGTTTTTTTGTTCTTCTTTTTATTTGCACTATTAGGCGTAAAAGACCGTATAGTTTGCCAAAGCTTTGGTCAAGTGCCACTGCTCCACTATACTTATTACGCGCACTCTTTTCTGCTTATGCCAATGATATTCGATAAATTTTTCAATGACTTTCAAATTAGCAATCTTTATTCTCATATGATGATATAATATATATGTTATAAAGTGGTTAAGAAAAATTAATTATCGATATTATTGAATTTTTCAATTTATTTAAATATAATTACATTTTTTATTTTATCTTTACATAATAATAATAATATTAATAATAATAATAATAATAATAATAATAATAATAATAATAATAATATATTTATTATTCTCTTATAAATCATAAGATATAATATGCAATTGAATTTGTATAATATTATATTTACATTAAGTAAAATGAAAATTGACTCGCATTTGGAAATTGAATATAGTCACTGTAAGCTGTGGGCAATCGACATTCGACAATAATACATATTTTGTAAATCCAAGCTACCCGTCGACTTTTGATGGGACTGATTCCTGCCAACTAACTATTATCAAATCTCACTCGGATATTTGCCAATTCAGGTAATATCTCTCGTTCTTACCGATCAATTATAAAATAAGCACGTAGACAAGTCGCTGCCACATTATTAGCATTTACGTTTAGATTGGATTTCGTTCAATTTAACGTAAAGGGGCCAGAAACGTTAAATAATTTGTGCACCTATGATCAGTTCATTGTATCGGGCGGAAATCCAATATCGCCGATTTGCGGCAATAATAATGGAAATCACAGTGAGTAAATTTTAAACTGTAAGAGCCAAAAGAAATTTGAATGGTAATTCTTGCTTTAAACCAAAATATTTTGTAAAATATGCAAAATAATAACAATGGTAAATACTAAAGAATTATTTTTTTCACTTCAAGTTTGACGAATGAGAAATGCATTAATGCATATGTGTATTTACAAAAATATCAATCATGTATAATAAAAACTTAAATCTCGAGATAGTATTATTAATATCAAAACATTATTTAAGATTCATTCAAATCACAATCGCCATGAATTCAATATGGAATTATTTAAATAAAATTTTTAATAATAATATGCAAAATTTGACTGTTAAAGTATATTAATAATTGTGCAACATTT